ATTTATACAATATCTAAATTCGATCTTCTTTGTCTTCTTTGGAAAACAAAGGTTAATGCACTTATTAAAATTTAAAGACATTTTCCACGTTGTACACCAGTCATGAATACGCACCAAGTCATTTTGAAGTTGGGAGGAATCCTGCTCACTCTTAATTTTCCGGTAGACTATGCAGTCATCGACAAAAAGTCGGGTAGATGATAAGATACCAACCGAAATATCATTGATATAAATTAAAAATAACAAAGGACCCAAAACGGAGCCCTGTGGCACACCTGATGTCACGTCAACATAACTGGATGCTTTTCCATTCAAAACAACGCATTGGCGACGATGCTTTAAATAATTTTCTATCCAGATTATCACATTTAGGTGTAAATTAAATAACTTAACTTTTTGCAAAAGGAGCGCATGCGAAACCGAATCAAAAGCTTTTTGGAAATCAAGAAAAATACAGTCAATTTGCCCATTTTCGTTAATACTAGAGGATAAATCATGATAAAATTCAACCAGCTACGTGGTACAAGATAGTCCTTTACAGAATCCATGCTGATTTTCTATTAACAATTTGTGGTGCGTTATATGTCGCATTATTTCCTTGTACAAGATGTGCTCAAGTACTTTGCAGGCAATTGATGTTAATGAAATTGGTCTATAGTTGACAGCTTCCTTTTTGGGTCCACCTTTGTGGATCGGCACAACGAGGGCCATCTTCCCATCATCTGGTAAAACACCAGTAGATAAAGACTTCGAGTAAGTTAAATGAAGATACATGGAAACAAGAGAAGCACAATGTTTGTAAACACTCAGAGGAATGCCGTCAGGACCATTCGCTTTTGTTTCATCGAGATTACTCAGAAAGGCTTGAATGCCGTCTACGCTAAGCTCAATAGGCTGCATTAAGGGTACGGGATATACACATGGGATATCACAGTATTCATCAGTCTTTGGCGAAAATACAGAGCGAAAATATTCATTAAGGCAGTTCGCCTTGTCTATATCTTCCAAGAACACTTGATTATTATATTGGATTTCGTTAATACCGGTAGCATCCGACCCGCAACGTTTTAAGTACCGCCAAAACATTTTTGGATTTGTTTTCATTTCTTCGCTTAGCCTATTTAAGTAGCCCGCCTTCGCATTTTTTACCATAACTTTGTATTCACGCGTTAGGGCGCTTAACCTGTCGAAGTGTTTTTTTGCATTCGTTCTTTCGAAGCTATGGTATACTCGCTGCCTGTTTTTAAATATTTTTAATAACTGTGAGGTAACCCAAGGCTTCTTGCGGCTATTCATTCCACGAGAATGCACACTTGGTATGTAAATATCTATGAGTTCCATTACTTTACTTTTAAAAGCACACCACAATTCTTGTGTGGTAGAATATTCGGCAAGGCATTCGAAAACAGGCAGATGATTTGAAAGCGCATGTGACATCGCTGAGTAGTCACCTTTACCAAAAAGAAATTCCTTCCTTGTAGGTTGCTTCTTTGGCTTATTCTTTTCAAACCTAATACCCGCGACGACCGCGGTGTGATCACTTATACTCTGAACGTTATCCACAGAAGTTACAATAGTGGGGACATTACAAAACATCAAGTCTAAAATGTTGCCATTTCGGGTTGGCTGATGCACATACTGGTAGAGCCCAAAAACATTAACGATTTTCTTCATCTCGCTGTTAACACGGCTACCAGTTTTGCACGTGCATGTGCTGTCATCCCAAAGCAGATCTGGCAAATTAAAGTCTCCAGCAAGAAGAAAGATTTCGCCAGAAATATCGGAAATAGTTTCATGTAAAAGTTGTAATGAACTAATGTCAAAGGCAGGTGGTCGATAAAACGCCCCGATGGCAAAAGAAGAATTATCTTCTAATCTGACGGAGCACCAAACTGATTCCAATTTCTCATGGCCAATATCAAGCGCTGATGAATGCAGTGAGCAGTGAACGAGTACAAAGACTCCCCCGCCTAAGCTAGGCCTGTCCTTCCGATAAGCTATAAAATCATCTGGGAAGACTTCACTATCACGAATAGACGGGTTCAACCAAGACTGTGCCAAATACTATGTCAGCTTTGAAAGAATGGATTATTCCGGCAAATTCTTCGACATTATTTACCAGGCTCCTACAATTGATTACAATTGCAACAAGGTCGCGACGGGCACCGCTTTTGACATCAACTTGTCACTGTTTGCGCACTTTCACAACTTCTTTTTCCTTATCCCAAACGAATGCTTGGCCGTTGATGACAACCCGGTCATTCTTAAGCTTTACTTCTTTATCGGTCCGTTTTGCTTTCGCGAATTCCCACAATCGCTTACGTAAGTCCCGGGTCTCGGGAGAATAGTCTTGATCGACGCTGTAAGGCGAGCCCTTAAACTTTTTTGCCTTAGTTAGTACGCTTTGTTTTTCTTTGTATGAAGAGAAATGGACAACAATAGGTCTTTTCCCACTTTCAGTATACCGGCCCACGCAGTGGGCCTTCTGTATGGAGTGCAAATTGATCTGAAGTTCTTTTTTCAAATACTTGTGATCAAGTTTTCCGATTGGTCCCGAGTCTCGGCTCAATTCGTTTCAGGTGTCACGCTGTGCCTGCACCGCTAAACTCACACTGCACAATTTCTGAACTTCGTGTGCACAGTCGTGAACCAGTTCCGATTGGTGCAGGTGAATCGAACAGGCCTAGAAGCTGACGGAGAGTTTTGCTTCATTCGATAATAATTAAACTGCTACAGCTAGCACTCTTTGCCTTGACACTGGGGGAAAAAAACGAGATGCGCGAAGCAAAACTAGGTGAGGCCTTTAGGTCTACGGTCAATTACGAGCATATGCGGCTGAACATAACGATGCAGTAGACAGCAAAACAAACGCTATGTAACAGTGCTATAGAAACTCGCAGGGTTTTTATGCAACAAAGCTTAATTTGGGCGAGTTGGTTCATTGTGGTTGTGTTCTAAAAACAGCGCGACAACTTCAGGAAGAGACAAAAAGGACAGAAAACAGTGCTCTTTCTAGTCCTTTTTGTCTCTTCCTGAAGTTGTCGCGCTGTTACTAGAACACAACCACGGTTTCTTATACATTCACCCAAGACAACTTGAAGGCGAAAGTTATCTGCTCTTTTTTGTTCAGTCAATTTATTGGTCCTTCCCCCTTTGCTGCAAAAGTTTCTACACCAAAAGTGGCTTTGCACTGGTTCTATGACTGGGTGTATTGCAAAGTTTCAACACCTCAGCTGGTTCTGCTCGGCCTCCGTGATTGGCGGGCCTATCACAGAGGCAGTGCAAAGCGACTGTGTCGTGTCACGACGTGATCATGAGACTGTCCTTGCACATTCTGGCAACCAGTGATGTCTTGATGACGTCCTATGGTGACACCATCATGCGATGATTTTTGCATCACACTTGTTGACGCTGCCGCTGTGGGACGCCGAAGCCACTGAGAGCAAATTTTTAGTTTTTAGGCAAAAACCTTAGATGCCTCAATGAAGGCGAAACTTAATTCACAGTTTGCATTGTCTGTCGACGACATTGAGTGGTCGAAAAAATCATCATGTGATGACAACATATATGACGTCAGACATCAAAAAAGAAAATTGTGACGTCACTAAAACGTCACGTGGCTTGACGTGATCATGCCATCGCATGCCATCTGAGCTTGGTCAAAAGTGGCTTGACCATGGAGGCAATGCAATACTGCACTGCCTCCGGTTTTCGCGGCAATGAAAACCTTATTAGGTGCAGCAAGTTTGTTAAGGGTGGTGTTGATGGTGTTGGGCACAGGTGTCGGCAGGGAATGCAAAAGGAGCACTTCCCCCCCCGCTCAAACCACGCCAGCACTTGCCCACGCCCAAACTACACCAGTGCTCTCCCCCAGCCGTGATGCAAGGCGGGCTTGCACACACGGGAAAATCCTGTCGACAAACGTGGACTGAGGGGGCATACGATCAGTACATCGGCTGAGAAGTAAAAGAAGATGGCCTTTGCCTTGGAATTGTCTTAGGTGGATGGACAGGGCACCATGCGAGTTTCTAATAAGGTATGTAAGGCTCTTATTTTGTGTAGGTTATTACACAGTATGCTTCAGGTGTAAAATTCCAGCCCTGTAATCACAGTGAGTGAGAACACAGACATTTTAACAAAGGTGAAACTTAGATGCAGCATCACAAAAATCGAAGTGCTGAACTAGCACCGAGCAATGAACTAAACGTCCGGTGACTTCCGCCCATTAATCACGATTCAAGAATCGAGCAACTGTGTCCGCCACTTTCTTTTTTTTTTGGGGGGGGCATGTTGAGTGATGATTATGATTATTTGGGAAGAACGCAGCAGTCTAGTTTGCGTGCCTGAAAATCAGAGTGGTCAGAGTTAAGCCGTTTCTTTACAACAGCCACACCTTACAACAGCCAAAGCCACTCGCGGCGCGTGATGAAAGCAGGCGAAAGCGGGAAAGCGTCATCTGCTCTGCCTGCCCAGCGCTCCACTCTCCGATAATGCTCCAGCGCCAACCCACCAGGGGAAGGTGTGGTGCTGAGATTTTTGGAAAGGTCCATTGATGCCAGTAATCACACAGCTATCCTTTTTTCAATTTATACCACCACATTGTACCCTGATTTTCCTGAAAATGCTGCCCTAGCATAAATGGCAGCTATTTGGTGCTTTGCAATTGCACCCTGGTTTAGTCTCGTTTCTTTAGAGTCTTAAAGTTTTCACTAGAAGTCAAGGGTATTACAGATGCATCGTTTTTGCTCTTCAAATGAGCATGTTTACAAATAAATGTATTAAATGCAAGGTTTTCCCCTTTTTATTACATTTCTACCCTCAGGGTAAAAAACATACAAACTGAGCACTATGTCACTCACTGCAGAGCACACTGAAGGCTCAATCGTTGCACGTGGCCCTGAGGCCTCCTCTACTCCTCCTCCTACCAAGCCTTCAGTATTCGAGCAAGATTAGGCTGGCAAGTAGGGAGCACCACAGAGGGATATCCAAAGCGCACACACCTTCCGAGTCCTCATCATCCAGGTACACCCGGCTTTGTGGTACGCAGCACTTCTTGTACCACGTGAGCAAATCATCCTTGGCTCGTGTGACAAACTCCCGCAGGCGCTCCTTCTTTTGCTGCTCGTAGTCGGCTAGAGTGGCTCGCAGCTGTGAAGGCCACAAAAACACTGAGACAACCACACGGCAAGTCGTCAAGTTTGGCACTTCTTGAGGCAAGTGTGCTCCACACAAATGCCCACTGTGTTCACCTTGTGATCCAGAGTAAATATACAGCACAGAATTTCATTAAAAGTTTAGTAATTACTACAGATGTGCAACATGCAAAATCAAGTCCCACAGTTGCAGACTGTACTTCTTGTACAAGAATTGTAGCTTATAACCCAAAGCTATAGCAGCACAGCATACATATGATTTTAGCACATCACAATACAGCTTTAAAGGAGACACTCATTTAACAGGCCCATAAGAGACATCAGTGTTCTTGCAATGAAATACTAGGGGTTGACAAGGAAACGCACACGTCATACACCCCATACAAAAAGCAAGAATTAATGCCCAGTGCATATGCCTTTCATAGAGGGCTCTAAATGTATTAAGAAAAAGTGTGTAATAAAAACAAGGAAATAAGTTTGCCAATTGCCTTGTTGAGAATAGTGAAATAAAAGAAGCACTAAGCCTTATGATAGACTAAGCAGTTGGCCGGCAACTGCATTATGCAATTTTTTATAGTGCTGCTGTCTCAAAACACAAGATGTTTTCCACCAAACGTAATATAAATGTTTGGGGTCATAAAACCGTGATATGATAAAAGAAGACTCTGTAGCAGAGGGCTCCAGAAATTTTGACCACAAAGAATGCCTTAACACGTGTCTAAACTCAAGCACACAGGTCTCTAGCTTTTCCCCTACATCAAAATGTAGCAGCCACAATCAGTATTTGATTCCTCTGAATCAGCTGCCAACACTACAACCACAAGACCATCATCATATGTGTGCACAGGGTGGCCGCCCCATCCTGGAGAACAATATACTCGAAACATTGAATTTCACTTCTTTGGGGGGAACAACTTAGCTAAGAAGTGTACCATTGTAATCAAGAAGTGCACCCACTTAAGGGGGGACACGGGTCTTAGGACTCTCTCATTAATTTTATGAACCATATGTGACAAAAGTTGGCATGCTTACTTAGTTTGTTCTCCTGATTCTAAAAATGTAGTGATTTTTTCTGTAGCTTCATTAGTTAATCAAATAATCAAGATAACAATTTCTATTGTTCTCACCACAATGGAAAAATAACCACCTGTCAAAAATGTATAAATTACATAGGAATTGACAGTAGAAATCATAAGACATACAACATAGGAAGCGCTTTTTTGATTGGGGCATTATTTCTTACTTTACAGTACACTAAACTTCACAGCTCTGAATGTGGCCATTGTGTGGTCACACAAAAGACTAGTTTAAAAAACTTCCATCAAGATCAATCAAAATGTGCTTCCTATGTTGTGTGCTCCAAACATATAGCTTCATGCTGCAAAAAAAAAAATATTCTGCTATCTGTAATAGTTTCCGATATATTGCAGTAATTTTCATGCAGGGTGTGCAAAATTGCCATTTAGAGAAAATGAAGAAAACATGAAATTTTAACATTTTTAACTGTAAAAATGTATGTAGTTAGAATTACATGGCCATTGACATATAAATGAATGCTAGAAAGCCTAAGGAGTGCAACGCTGCAAGCTGATTGAAAATTGAACGAGTACTTCTCGAATTACAGCACAGTTCATAGCATGTAACCAAATACAGAAATTTTTATAGTGAATTAAAAAATATGAAGCTGCCCATTAAAAATAGGCTTCCAGCATTGTTTTCTGAGCACATTTAGCTACATTTTGCAAAAACAATTACAGCTCTAGCTTTCCTTTTACTGAACAAGCAAAAGAAAGTGGTCAAAATCTGTGCTTCAAGAATAATGCTGTTAAAACATTATTTCGCCGTTCCGAGGGAAAAAATGTCATGGCACACATGCTTTTAGTCAGTTAACATGGACCGGGAATGTAATAGGAATGATTGTTTGCACGAGCGTCTAGTTTCTTCTAGTCTTGTAGCAAGTTGTCGCCGTGTGCTCGTCTGCCGCGAGGCCACTTATCAGTTTGGTAACTTTACTGACGGCGACGTGCGACAAATGTGCGTGCATAATCTGCGATACGTCGAATAACACGGCGTTGTTTTCCGGCTTGTCCAGAATGAGTTACCCGTAAATGTCACGAACCAAAGTTGCTCCCTCATTCATCAATTTTGAGGCTACGCGAGTGCCGAGGTGCTAGTTTCCTTTTCACGCAAGACTGCCGCATTTTCGAGCGTAGATCGCGACAACGTTGCGAACACGTCGTTAAAAGCAGTCCACCAGTTGCCAGTAGCCTCTATTGTGGGGGCGGCGAGCATTTTCACCGCAAACGGATTGACTTCCTGTTGTTCGTCGAAGCGCGGCGTACTCCACTCTGACGACCCGTCGCGCAGTTCAAGGTGCTTTCGTCAGGCGGGGGGAACCGCGGCATCCGCGCGTTTAGCGATAAGACTGCGCTTCCGTTCCGTCACTCCAAAGATTGCTATCTCTTGTAGCTTCGCTTCTGTTTTTTACTTGCCGTCCTCTAACTGATGAGACTGCAAAACACAGCCATTCTCAGTAACGTTGTCGGCAACCAACGGGCTCGTACGTGAGTTAGGCCTACATCGGTGACTGCCGTTGACCGCGTTGAGTTTGTTATCCTCGTTGTCCTGAGCCATAGCGGGGCTCTTTCTGAAGTTCACAGCGAACGAACGACTGCCACACCCGCTTCAGAAATTACTGTAGCGCGGAACTCCTTTACTGCCGCAGGCAGTCAGTAGCACTATGACAAAATGGCGCATGTCAGTGCGCGTCACGATGGTGAAGCAGACGCCGAAAACGCCCCTTGGCCAATCGGATGCCTAGGTTTTGTCTCGTGCCCCAAGCAGTCAATCGAATCGCACGCTAGTGCTTCTCGATGACACGTTTTTGCTAAAAAACCAATGAGCAAGGCGAGCCAGCGGTGGCGGAAAATTGATGATGAACACGGAGGACATCGGCGTTCTGGCGTTTCTTCCCAGTGCGATGTACGAGTTCGTAATCGTACGCCGACATCTTGATGCACCATCGTGTCATTCGCGGCGACAATGTCTGTGGCATTGGCTTCTGGGGACCCATAATACCCAATAAGGGCCGGTGATCTGTTATGAAAGTCACTTTCCTGCCGGTAATGTACTGCCGAAAGTGATCTGCTGCGTAGACGATGGCAAGTCCCTCTTTATCTAGCTGGGAATAATTCCTCTCTGCCTGCGATAGGGTGCGCGAAGCAAAAGCGATCGGGGCTTCCCGTCCCTGGTCGTCAACTTGGGAGAGGACTGCTCCCACTCCGTATGGTGATGCGTCACAGGCTAGCAGTAGGGGTCTCCTTTCGTCGTAGTGTCGCAGAACAGTAAACTTGCGAAGTAGTTGCTTAAGGGCAACAAATGACTCTTGGTGGCGTGGCGACCAAGTCCATGGGACTTCTTTCTGCAGGAGCTGATATAGATCGTTAGCCACTGTAGCTCGATGTTCTAAGAACCAGGTCGTAGAACGTCAATAGCCCCAAAAACGACTGCAGTTCTTGCTTGTTAGTAGGCGCTCGTGCTTCGGTGATTGCACGAACTTTGTCTTCAGTGGGATGGATACCCTGCGCGTTAATTTGATGTCCAAGAAACTTCACTTCAGGCACAGCAAGAACGCATTTTTTTTACTAATGCGCAAATTAGCATTTGCTAGTCTTTCCAAAATGAGCTCCAAGCGTTCTGTGTGCTCTTCATTGGAGGCGACACCGACAATAACATCGTCCAAGTAGACGCAAACACCTGGGATCCCGATAAGTGTAGACTCCATAAATATCTGGAAGATTGATGGCGCTGCAGATATTCCGAATGGTAGCCTTTTAACTTTGTAAAGACCCTTAATAGTGTTTATTGTGAGCAGTTCAGACGTTGATTCGCTCACCTTCAGCTGTTGGTAGGCTTGTGTCAAGTCCAAGGTGCTGAAGATTTTTCCACCACGAAGCGTGCTAAAAACCTCTTCCGGTGTCGGCAGTGGGTAGGAAGATGCTTTTGTCGCCAGGTTGACAGTGCTCCGGTAGTCTCCGCAGAGGCGTAGGGTACCGTTCTTCTTTCGGACGACAACGAGTGGTGTCGCCCATTCCGAATGTTGCGTCGGTTCCTGCAGCCGGTCAAGCTCATTCTCGACTGATGTCCGTAGGGCGAAAGGCACCGACCTAGCTTTCAAAAATTTCGGCGTCGCACCCTCCCACAGCTCAAGTGTGACTGGAGGTCCGTTGTTCCCTGGTATTTCTTCCTAGAAAACCGCTTTGTACTTATCTTGAAGCTGCTCCACTGACTGGATAACTGAGTGTGTGGTGAACTCCGCCAATGACCACTCCAAGGGGGGTGAACCAATTTCGTCCTAAAAGGCTTGATCCAGAACCGTGTACGACTAGCAAGGGGAGCTGATGGGTCTGCCCGTTGTAGTACACGTCTACGTTGGCACAGCCCAGCAGTGGAAGGGAATGTCCGGACCACGTTCTCAGCTGCGTGTCGTCTTGCTGGAGAGCTGGCGCGTTCTCACGCCAAGTAGCGCGAAAAGTGTCCTCGCTGATGAGCGTACATGCTGCTCCGGAATCCACCTCAAACCTGATAGGGCGCTGGTGTACCATAATTTCAGTTGTAATCTTCGGTCTCGTTCCGAGGTTCACAACGACCTTTAAGTCATATAGTGCCGATGACGTTAGTGCTGTTCGGCTTGTATCTTGCGTCTGGCCCTCCTGTGCGTCATGATGAAGAACGACCCTTCCAAACGAGACCAAGATGAACACGATAGCTCGTGTGTAACGGCAACAGTTCGGCGCGGAAAAAGTGCAATTTTAGCGTCAGTTTGCGCTCACATTCATCTCACAGAGATGTTATAAATTGATTTTGTGCCAGAAATAATGACGCGAAAAGCTAGAAACTTCTCAGATAGGTGCAAAAATAGGTACAGATTCCAAAAATGTCAGCTTCAAAAAGTCAATTTTTTTTTTGCGATTTTTGGCCTGCTAAGACCCGTGT